CCGGGGCCCCCCCCCCCGCGGGCCACTCACCGCGCCCGCATCCTCCCCGCAGCCCCAGGGCCTGCGCGCCCCAGGTAAGCGGCCGCACACCTGCGTCCCGCGCCCCGCACCTGCGGCCCGCGGTAGCTGAAGAAGCCAAGAGGGAGGAAGGGCCCGGGGCCGCAAAGTTTGCCCCCAAGAGCCAGGTGGGGAGGGCCCAGCGCTCCCGGCCAAAGGGCCAGACCCTAGGCAGGAGGACCTGAATGGGGCTCAGGACGAAGAAAGGGGGGCAGGCACCTCACTTTCTGAAAGCAGGGTTAGACCAGGACGGTGGAGTCCAGAGTGGCCCTGACAGCCTAACTAGTGGGTCAGTAGCAGTCGGGACAGGGGTGAGAGGCGCCGGGCTGGCAGCCCGGAAGGGCAGATCCGACTCCCACGCCTTCCGATTTAGTGGGAGGCGTCCGGGAAGCTCTGGCTCAGGCAGGAGTGCCTTCTGGGAGCAGGGGACTTGGGAACTGGGTTTAGGGCCCCTCACCTCCACCTCCCTGACCCCCCCCCCACCGGCCTGGCCTTGCAGTTTCAGACCTCTCACCAGCACCAGTAGGCTCAGGACAGGAGTCCAGTCGTTCTGGGAGAGACCTGGGTCACCTCTCTCAACGCCAAGAACTCAGTCTCCCCATGGTGTGGTGGGGTTCGGCCCGGACGCCACAAACCCCCTTGGCACCTTGTCTCCCTACAGCTCCGCTCCTCTCTGCGTGCGTGCCTGTGTGCCTCCACCGCTCCTTCCTCCACGTTCCCGCTGGGCCCGTCTTCTCCCGCTCTCCCAATCTCGGTCTCTACTCCGTTAGAGTTACCACCCCTACTTCCCCGCCTGCACCCGGGCGCCCCTGCAGCCGCTTCCTCCCCCCAGCCCCCCTTGGCATTAAGTGTCCTTAATGGACACGTTAATTAAACTGTAATTAATCATACTGTCCGGTCCAAGTTTGAACAATTACCCTAATCAAACAGAAGTTAATAATGGCAGGGATGGCCCGGGGCGAGGCGGCCGCCCGGGCAGGGGGCGCAGCGGCCACGGCAGCTATCTGAGGCGCAGCAGCGGGAGCACAGCCTGTCCTTGGAACCCGGGCGGCGCCATAAATCTTCCGCGGTGGCGGCGAGGGGTCGCGCTCGCCCCCGCCCCCTCGTTTTCCCTCCTGCTCCGGGTGACGGGCCCTCGCCCCCCTGCGTTCTGGCTCCTCTGGGTCTCCTCTGCTCCTCCTCTCCCCTCTCCTCTCCTGGCTCGCAGGGACGCTGGAAAGGCCTTACTTAGGCCTCGCCCTCCAGGGAAGTTGCGCGGCCTGGCCTGGGGTTGAGCTGGCCTCTCCCACCCGCCCTGGCTGAAGTGTTCCCTAAGGTCCCCAAACCATGCCCAAGTTCGGGGACTCTGTCTCCTCTGCGGGTCTCTCCTAGAAGCGGTTCTTGCTTCCCCCCTCCGACTTCCCGGCCTCCCTTTGATTTCTGTCGGCGGGGTCAGCCCGGCCTGCTTGCTCTGCCTCTGGCCCCTCCACTCGCCAGCCTTTCGAGGCCCTGCCTCGTCCCGCTGCAACTCCATTCCCTCCCACTCAGAAAACGAGAGGAACCAAGTCTCCATCCCAGTCCCCACCCGATCAGCGCATCCCCCCTCCCTCGCCTGGGCTCCCACACCCCATAATTACAATCCCGCTCGGTAATTATTCTTAGCCTCCTAATGATTTTTTAAAAGGCATCTCAGAATTCAGTATGGTGGTGACAACGATCCTGGGGTGCGGACGCCCCCAGGGCGGGGACGGTGGGGGTGGAAAGAGGGTGGACAAGGTCCCGGTTGCATGGCCGGTCCTCCTGCCTCTATTGTATCGCGAGGTCAACGACGCCTCCAGAGCTGGCCCCTAGGTCTTCGGGGACCTCTCTGACAAAAGGTCGCACTCGGTTACCACGCCCTGGGGAGTGCAGGGTCGCGTCTGCGTCCTCGTTCAGCACCGAAGTGCGGACAGCTCCACGGCTCGGGCCGGCGCCTGGAGACCCACCCAATTCTCCGACTCCGGGTCTGGAGGAAAGACCGAAGGCGCGGGGCCAGGCTGGGGAAGCGCCGCCACTCGGGCTGGTCTCTGCGGAGCAGGACCTGGGGCCAGGCTGGGCCTGGGCTCCGGACCAGCGTCCGGTCTGCGGGTATCACCGCAGGCTCGTTCTAGGGTTCGCAGAGCAGGCGCTCACAACGGCCATGGGATTAGGTTGCGGTCATTTGTTCCCATTTTATGGGCGGGACACTAGGGGTCAGGCAGCGGAAACCCACCCAGGTTCGGGTCGGTGAGGCCCGCGGCCGAGCTCCTCGCCCAGCAGAGAGGGCCTGCTTGCGAGCGGACGCTGAGACGCGTGCAGCGCCGCGGCTCACTCGCCTTGCAACTTTCCCCGCCAGCCCGCAGAGGGACGGCCTAGAAAGCCAGGTCACCTGCTCAGAGGCAGGCAGCCGGCGAGCGGCAGAGCTGGACTGGAACTCCGGCTCCGAAAGGCTGCGGGCGGGGGCTCTGGGCCCTGAGGCGGGTTCAGAACACCAGGAGCTGCGTCCTCACTGACCTCGACCCCTCCCCAGTATTGTGCACTCTCTCTTTTATCTGCTACCCGCTGGCACCAGAGGCCGGGGGCCAGACTCTGGAGCCACAAGGAGCCACAACGCCGCCCCTCCCCCAAAACTCCCACCCTGGCCCGCGCTGCTTCGATGTCCGGGAGCGGCGTCCGCACAGGCTGGCCTCCAGCGCCAGTTTGGCTCCGGCTGGGGCTGGGGCCGAGGCCGGCGGCCGCGCCTCCTCGGCGAGCACATATCTTTTACCAGTTG